CAGTACTGGGGTGACCGGCCACGGTCCGGCCTCTCAGCAGGAGATGCCCCGCGGGGGCTGGGCTGCCCCGGTGTCTGCTGGGCTGCCTGGGGCTGGAGGGGGCTGAGACCCCAGCGCAGCTGGAAGGGCCAGTGCCCCAGGGTAGGGGAAGGGCAGCCAGCTGAGGTGGGGGAGGGGTCCCCTTAGGCCTGGCCCCTCCCAGCATCCCTTGCGCTGATCATCTCTCTCCTTCCCCGGGGTGGGCTGCAGGGAGCTCAGCTGCCCTGTCAGGTGAGGGTTTCACACAGACCCTGGCCGGGCATGGAGTGTGGGACCCAGCTCTGGGGAGGTTGGGGGTGGGGGGGAACTGAGTTTGGCGGGGAGGGTTAATACTGAATTACCCAGCGCTGGGCATGGGGGAGGGGCAAATCCCCAGCCACCTCCTGGGAACACTCAGACCCCCTGGGATTCCCTGCCCCCAGCTGGGGAGCAGCAGGGTTGGGCCCTAACAACCCCTCTGCTGTTCTAGGCTTTCATGCAGCGCTATAAAGGCAAATTTGACCACTGGGTTGGCCTCCGGAGGGACCCAGAAATGGACCAGTGGCAGACCTGGAAATGGACCAATGGCACCAAATTCAATAACTGGTGAGTCTTCGACACACTCTCTCTCTCTCTCTCTCTCTCTCTTGGGTGCCTGGTGTCTGAGCCATCGAGTTCAGGCAGAGCTGCCAGCCAGTGCTGTGGGAACAGCCAGAGAGCGCTTGGAAGAGTGTGTGCTGGGTGTGTTAGTGACAGGTGCAAGCCAGTGTCTCCCGCTGGCTGATGGACATATCTTTGGCTGTAACGAGGTCTCTGAATCTTTGATGAGGCGTCTACATACCAGATGCTTGATGGTCACACATATAAGTATTTTTATTAAGTGTAACAAGTGGGACATAAGTGCTGGCAACTGAAAACACTCAGCTCAAATCAAGTTACTAAGACAAAATAAAACACGCCAGTTAATCCTAATACACAAGGAAACATGTTAATGCAAATTCTTACCCCAATAGTTGTTCTGCTGATCTCTGTCACAAGTTAAGTAGCTTCCTAGCTTGGGACGGATTCTTCCCCCTGTTCAGTCTTAGATTGTTCAGTCTTAGATAAGCGGGAGAGGTGGGCACATGGCAGGAGGCCCCCACTCACCACCCACGATGCTCTGGGTTACCTCCTTGCCATCCCAACCCAGCTCTGCTGGCAGGGTGCTGGTGGCTCCCCGCCTGCTCCCTCAGCCATGTGATCAGGCGGGTGGGGGCTGGGTTAGCCTGGCTCTGGGACACGTCTTGGCCCACCCAGAGCCAGAGGCTGGACGTCTGGGGGTGGGGAGTTCCCAGCCTGCCCAGAGTGGTGCTGGGCCTCCTCCCAGCCCGGCACCTGCCACTGAGTAGCCAGGATGGGTCAGTGGGGGAGGGTTTGCCTGTGGGCCGGGATCCCGCCCTGTGCCCTGGTGGGTTGTGCTGGGTCCAGCTCTGGTGGGAAGCTGGGTGTGAGCGGCTGGGTCACGCCATGGCCCCGGGGTCTGTGCTGCTGCCGTTTAGCTCCAGCCTCCCCAGCGCAGCCTGGTCTGCTGGGCGCCTGGCCCCTGTCTGTGACCGACGGGAAACACCCGGCTCCTGCCTCACACCAACTCCCTGGCTTCTGCCCTGCAGGTTTGTGATCGGAGGAGATGGCGACTGCGCGTATCTGAACGAGAAGAAGGTCAGCAGCTTGTGGTGCTCTGGTTACTTGCCCTGGATCTGCAGCAAACCCGATGCATTTACAGCAGCAAAGGAGACTCCAGCGGGAGGAGGTTTGTAACAGGAGTGTTGGACAATTGACCCTGGGAAAGCTGGACTGGTCTGTCTTCAGCATCACACCTGAGCCTTTCCAGAGTGTCAGGGGCTGCTCTGAGCCTCTGTGGGTGAAAACCACAAAAGCCGTTTGCACATTTCGTCCTCTCCCCACGGCTGCCTGTTTTCCCTGCCAGTGGAACTGCTCAGATAGGCCTTTTCCGCCTGGCGCAGGGAGTCGGGATCGTCTCTGAGCCGAGAGCCACGGCACCAGCCTCAGTTTTCCCTGCTTGAGCATCTCCCACAGAAGCTTTTTACTTCCGTGGGCTCCAGTGCTTGTGCCAGCCCCGCCTCCCACCTGCCCCTTGCTGCTGCTTGTGATGGAGCAGGCATGGGATGGGGAGGACTCGATGGGAACTGGTACGTGCTGGGAGCCAGATTTTACTGGCACCAGCTCTCCCTGCCCCCCTTTGTTGCCTCTCATACGGAGGCAGGGGGTGGGGGGGGTTTATAGTCGTTAGGATTAGCCAGTAAGCCCAGGTTTATCGGTTAATTGTTTAAATGACGATTCACTGACATCCTTAGTTTGGAAGCTTCAAGGGGAAGCAGAGTCAGTCTGTACAGGATAAACATAAAAACCAACCAATAGTCTGGTAGCAATTTATAGACCGCCCTCCCAGACCATGCTGCTCCCCCACCCTTAGGCCAATTAGGGCTTGGGAGCAGGGGCTCCTCCTGTCCTGCCAGGAGCACATGGCACTTTGAAGCACCGCGCGCTGCTCGCAGAGCAGGGGGGGAGAACGGAGGAGGCTTTGTGCGCTCCCCAGGCCAATCAGGGCCTGGGGGTGGGGGAGCTTCGTGATGCTTCCTTCATTCTGCCCCGGCCCTGCAAAGAGCCTGCAGTACATCAAAGTGCCACGTGCTTCTCACAGGATGGGATGAGGCTTCCTGTGCTCCCCCAGGCCCTGATTGGCTTAGGGTGGGGGAGCATGCCAAGCCTCTCTAGGGCATGAGTGTCTATAATGGGAAGTGGTGGGAAAGGGGCTCCCCCACTGCCAGACCAATCATGATCTGGGGGTGGGTAGCTCTACCCCTTCCCATTTAGGCCCCTCTCCTTCTGGGGTGGCTTGGGGCTACTTCAAAAAATTTTGAAGTGGCCTCCGGGAAAAAATTATTGCCCACCTCTGGTCTAGTAGACCAAATTTGAGGTGGTCCGGCAGCATCTCCCCTGATGACCTGCCCCTGGCCCTTCACCTGCTGCTCCGGCCTTGCCAGTAGAAATCTCTCCGCATAGAAGCGCATCAGGCTGCCTTTGGCATCAGTGTCAAGGCCGGTTCCTGTTGCTGCCCTGTGGTCATTTGGTATCCCTGTCGGACAGATCCTGCGCTTCCCTTGAGTTGCTTCTCTGGCCCTTGGCCTTGTGCCTGGGCTGCCCTGAGCTGTCCCTGCCCCCAGGCTGGGCCTGTCCCTTCCCGCCCGGAAAACGTCTCCCGCCAGGCGTCTCCCTCGCCCTGCGTCTGGCTGCGCTGGGAGCTCCGGGCAACTGGCGCTCGGCCTGGCGAAGGGCAGGGAGATTGCCCATAGGGTTGCTAGATGGCTTAACCACAAATACCAAAAAAAAAAACCACTGTGGGGAAAAAAATTCTTTTGAGGAGGGGAAAAAAAGGGGGAGGGAGACCAAAGTTGTTCAACCGGAGGAAAAAAAAGACCCTGAGAGTTAAACAAAAAAAATTAAATAATAAAACAGCATTATTAAACAGTGAGTGCAGACAGAATAGGGATAGGAACAGGGGAGAAGTTGAGCCAAAACCGGACACCTGGCAGCCCAGCGCAGAGCAGGGGAGGGGCAGCAGCCCAGGC